AAAATGACCATGGTGTGTGTCCCTAGGGTCGCTTCCCCATTCCATCATCACGTGGCCGCTCTCCTTGAATAGTTGGCCACAGGTGGACTTAAGCTGTGGGGTCAGTGGTGACTTTCTATTTAGCTGTTTCCCCACCCCCCTTCAATTTTAAAAGCATGTTCCGTAGGAAACACAGTGTTCAGAGAAGGAAGGTGATTAAGACCGTGAATCCTAATCACGCAGTGCATTTTTAAAATTAACTATAACAATTCATTAAACATTGAGAAAGGGGACCAGATACTTTTGTCTTGGGTGGCAGAACAGTGCCTGGCACACAGTAGGCACTCAGGGTTTACTGAATGAGTGGAAGACGCATGGACTCCCTAAGTAGTACGCAACGTGAGTAGTTAAGTACAAGCTCTTGCTCTTCCTTCTGCTCACAGGCCGGGAGAGTCTCAGACATGAACATTTTGATTTTTACAAAAGGTAGAGCAAAGGATTCTTCTCCATGCCCAGTGGGAATGGTATGGCTCTGTCCAAAATGGAAAAATGAAACTGCCCACCGCTGAGCCTTTCAGTTTACCTCCTGCCTCCGGCCCTTGCCCACCTACAGTCTGTTGCCTGGCAGCCGGAGCTATCTTCAAAAACAGGAGCCACCCTGTGTCATCTCCTGCCTTAAGTGGGCCAGTGGCTTCCTTCGCAATTAGAACGCACATCAAAGCTGTGACACAGCAAGCTGGGCCTCCGTGGGATTCTGCTCACCCCCCATCTCATTTCCGACCACTTCCCCCTTGTCTCTGCGGCTCCAGCCCTCTGCCTTTTTATGGATATTCTGCTGAATCTGTTTCCTCAGGGCCTTTGCACCTGCTGCTCCCTTGGTCTGGAAAGCTCTTCCTGTCGTTTAGGGTCTCCACAGTAGCCCTCTGTGACCTTCACTTCTATCTGATCACCCTGGGTTGTTCTCTTTATAGCAGGTGACCCTGCACCCAGGTATCATTGTGTCTATTTACTGGCTATCTGTCGTTCTTACTCCAAGGCAGAGTCAGCCCTGTCTTTGTCACCCAGAGCCCCAGAGCCCCACTATGTGCTGGTGAGCGGCTGAGCAGTGGGTGGTGGTGAGCCGTTCTCAAGCTGGGTATTGCATGGGGCTGTTTTGCCTTGTGAGATGGGTGAAGGATGAAGTTCTGGCAAGGCTGGAGGGAGGCCATGGGTCCTTGTGACCTTGACTTTAATCCAGTGGTGCAAGTGTAAAGCAAGCCTGACCGTGGGAGAAGGTGGAGGTCAGTTCTTGAGTCAAGGCTGAGTGGTGTCAAGCTGGGGCCAGAGAGGGGTTGGAGAGCCGAGAGTCAGGGATGGCCTCTGTTCCCAGACGCGGCAACTAGGAAGCGCTGGTCCTCTCCTCATTTCTGTCCTCGTGGTGGGGCTGTGTCACAAGGGCTACAACTACATGCCCTGTGACCTCCTGTTCATTCACACTCCACCACGGGACATCTTCTGAGCACCTACTGTGTGCAGGCCCTGCTGTAGGCACTAGAGACTAGATTGAATAGGCAAGTCCAGAGGCCTCCTACCTTAGGGTGGGCTTATGACGGAGGAGAGGACCCACGTGATCAGCATGGTTGGTGAGGACAGGCAGGGCTCTGCAGGGGAGCTGGGGAAGGAACCAATGTGGGAGTGGGTCTCCAGGGCCTGTGGGCTGGGCCTGCGCACGATCCCACTGGCCCTCTTTGACAGACTGGGTTTGAAATGTCTTGATCACCACCCAGAACCCAGTGTTGGGGGCTCTGCACTCACAAATGAAGCCTTGCTAAGCTTTCTTGCTGGAAGCACTGGGCAAGCCAAAGTCCCTGCCGGGCCTGACCCAACCAGGAGGCTGTTGATGTCTCTCTCTCTCTCTCTCTTTTTTAATTCTAAGTCTTTGCTTTGATCTTCCTGGAGTGGGTTTAAAACCATTCAATCAGAGCTGAGATGAAAAAAGGATCAAAGGATACCTGCTCTTTCACTGAGGCAGAATCCAAAATGTTAAGCACATCTAAAGGTTCTTAGAGATAAATGTTGGACCATTAGTTCTTCACTCGTGTGAACAAAGCCCACGTTTGAAAAGTGCCCTCAAGGCAGCGAGCACACAGCTGTCTTTACAAAAGAGAAAGTATGGACTGTGGGGAAAACACTGCGGAAAGGAGGTTCAAAACAGAATGGAATTTCAGAAATTCTCGGAAAGCCACTGATAACATATGTCAATGCCTATTTGATTTGGTTGTTCTACTTCAAGCCCTGGATATTTACCCCAGTGAAAAAAACACGTTCTGGGGGAAAAAGGAACTGCGTACAAAGTTGCTAACTTCAAATTGCCTCTGATGGTGAGCAGGCACAAGCTGCACAACACACACACACACACACACACACACACACAGAGTTTGGGACAAGCGGGACTCATTCAGCAAAGTGCATGCAAACTCCATTTTCATAAATGAGGCAGTTTTAAACCACCAAAAAATTTAAAACAAGGACCCATGTATAAAAGTATGATAAAATCACTTATGCTCTTTTCTTTTTTTTTTTTTTTTGGTGGCGCTAGGGATAGAACCCAAGGCTTTGCACATGCTGTGCAAGTGCTCTGCACTGACCTGCATCCTCAGCCTTTTTTTTTTTTTTTTAGCTTTACTTTATTTTGCGACAAGGTCTTGCTAAATCTTGCAGGCTGTCCTCAGACTTGTGACTCTCCTGCCTCACCTTGTATTTAGAAGTAACTTTCTAGTGTTTCTTGAGTGAATTTGCAAATGCAGCCAGCTGACTAGAACCTGATAAGCCGATGGTGGGACGTCAGATTTACCACTCTGCTGTGCGTAAGGATCTCTCTTGGCTGCAACTGTACTATTTGCTAATATTATGTTTATTTTTCACTGTTAGTCATAAAAGGCAAGAAGCTGGATGAGAAAAAAGTGTATAGTCTCACACGTGTGTTGATAGGGATACCCAAGGATCTGAGGAAACTGGGGTGCCTCAGTACTAGGAAGCGAAGACCAAGTCATTGCTCATTGCAATGTAACTGGGAAAGTCGCCTACACCACCAAGATGACTTGGGTTGGCAAACTGGCCTGGCCTCTAAATCTAGGCAGTGGATGCCTGGGTTTACAATGATTTTATGGTTTTTAAAAGCACTATAAAAATAAAGAAAACTACGCAACAGATTGTATGTGACTCGCAAAGCAAGGAATGTGATCTGGCTTTTTTGCAGGGAAAGTCGGCTGACCCTGAGTCTAAGGGTCAGAATGCAGGGAGCTGGCTCAGGACCAGAGCCTGAGGTGCAGTCTGCCTCAATCGCTTGATGCTGGCAGTGTCCCTGGAGCTAGAGGTCCTCAGGCAAGGCAACTGAGCTGTTTCCTGATCCGTGACAGGGGGATAAGAATAGTATCTCTGCTTAATGGAAAGGCTGTGAGGACATAAGAGAATGTAAGTGGAGACTCAGCAGGGCCTGGTGTATGGGTGTTGGGAAAAGGGCTAGCTCTTCTCACCTGCATAATATGAGCAGCGGGTTCCACAGGCATGCTGGGAATATCCGTTCTGTTATCTGTACAGATGTGTGTTATTTACAAATTTAAAGTGCCCTATATATTATTTAGGTAGCAAAAGTAGCACATAAATAAAAAGTCTAAGTCATCAAAATCTAGGCTATTTGGAAAAAAAAGTTGATGTTTTGAAAAAACAGGTAGCAGATAATTCTAGATTAAGGACAACTGAGACCCAGATATAAGGTGTAATCCCAGAATAAATTGTGGAGTAGAAAAAAACAAGTGAACACACAAACCAACAAGATCCAAAAAAAGAAAAAAAAAGGATAGTTTTGGAAAATGTGAATGTGGACTGAATACCCAAACGGCATTAAACAATCGAGGTGACATGTCCCTAGGTGGGAAGATGGTGTGTGGTTCTGCAGAATGACCTTGCTCTGAGGAGACACGGCAGGTCTTTCGAGATGAAAGCACCGTTATATCTGCCACATATTTTCAAATTCTTTAACTGTGACAACAACAAAGTCTGTGCCTATGTCTACATATATACAAATAGATGTAAGACAGAGTGCTGGGAACTGAGGAATCTGGGGAAGGAAACGTAGGGGTCTACTGAATTGCACCCCACCCCCCTTTTCCCAACACTTTGAAAAATTTCAAAGGCAATAGTTGAAGACAAAATTCTTCAGAAGCTTAGATATTTACGCACAATGTCTTTAAGAGGGTATCACAAGCTACTCAGCCACCAATTTCCCTACTGGCATTATTATTATGGCAAGAATATACACCATGTTTAGTATTCCCCACTTAGTAATTGTTTCATTTATTATTTTCCTATTCTATTTAACATGTTAAAACGATGTAGCAAGATACACACACACACACACACACCCCACACACACACATCAACCCGAGCTTCACTTTCCTGTGTTTGAGTGTCTGTTCCTGGTAGCCACTTTAACTTCCTACATAGGGAATCTTTTTTGGTTCACAACAGACTTGAAATCTGTGTGAACGTTGCATGTGGCTCCCGCGAGACCCAAACTACCGTGAAGACAGAATGTGGGTTCCAGCGTGCCCTCGACAAGGAGGCTGAGGCTGAGCCTGGGTTCTGCTCTCGGTAAGTGAGCAAAGAGATGAGCCAGGACACCTGTGAGCCGCACAGCGTCTTCAGGGTCCAGAGGAAGAAGAAGAGACTGGGATGCACTGAGGCAGAGGTTGGCATCTTGCTAAACAGGTTCCCTGGACACAGAGGGAGGGAGGGAGGCACTGTTGTCCAGCGTGTAAGCTGATCTCTACTGAAAAGTCGTTTCCACCCATCTGGGAAGCCAACCTGTAGGCAGCTTTACAGCCCGTGTGTCCCCACAGTTACACACACACACTCAGCTTTCCTTTCTCCAACCTGCACAGGGTTAGGATTCATCCTTTGCCTTCATCACACACTCAGAACTAAGAGCGGTTGCATCCTCAGCCGTCACTGCTCCCCCGCACACAGACCCCACGGCTCACCTTGGGTCCTCCATCCCTGATGCTCGTTCCCCTCATGTCAGTGATGTGACCCAGCTGCGCTGAGCTCCACGGCTATCTCCGGCTTCAGAGGCAGGTTATGCAATGTCACTGCATGCTTCTGGCTGGTTCTCAGAAGCTGAATTCTATGGAGTTATCTATCTGACACATGGGAAATCGTCAAGAAGACGCTCCCAGTCAGCAAACTTTCTGGAAAGTGCGATAAGAGTCAAATGAGAGGGCCGAAGGAGGGGGGACCAGAAACACAGGCCACAGTCCCTCCTCAATGCCTGACGTCTCACTGTGTCTATAAGTGGAGATTGTCACTCATTTGCTGTGTAAAACCACAGAAGAGGAAGAAAAAAATTCTTCTGCTTTACAGGATGAAGTTCCTACTTTGAAGTGCTCTGGGTAGTCATACAGGGCACTTTGTCCCTCGAACACTGTGGAATAACTCCCACCGGACAGACCTGGCTCGCTTCCCTGGTGAGAGACCACTTGGCAATATTTCTGGTGTTGGTCAGTATTCCTTCCTATTGGCTTCTTAAAACTTGCCTTATAGCCGGGCGTGGTGGCGCATGCCTGTAATCCCAGCGGCTAGGGAGACTGAGGCAGGAGGATCGTGAGTTCAAAGCCAACCTCAGCAATTTGGCAAGGCACTTAGCAACTCAGTGAGACCCTGTCTATAAAAAAAATACAAAATAAGGCTGGGGATGTGGCTCAGGGTTGAGTGCCCCTGAGTTCAATTCCTGTACATGCCCCACCCCCACCAAAAAAAAAATCTTGCCTTCTGACAGCCAGGGTAAAACAAGTCAGGTGGGTGCCTTAGAGGACCGTCCTCCCTCCAGGTGGCCTTCCCCATCACACTTGCCCTGCTGTGAGCCCTACACCCACCGGCTGCATTTGCTCACAGTGCTTGGGGTGAACATCTTCTGAGCTCAGACTGCAGCAAGTACTGAGCTCAACACCACCCTTGCCCTATCTCTGAAATCTCACCACCGTGGTCTGCACTTGAAACCATCGTGCTGGTTTACCTGAGTCTTCGGGACTTGACAAGTCTTTTTGCTTTTCCAGCATCTCGAGACAACCTGCTGTAGGACAGACTGCAAGGACGCACCTGCGTTTTTATTTCATGCAAAAAAAAAGCGTATTATTCTTCCAAGCCTGGCCTCAGCTTCACCCCAGCCAGCTCCTTCTCCTCTCCTTGCTCCCCTCTTGCCATCACAGCACGTATTGGCTTGTCTTTTGGTTGGGTTGAGTGTCCAGGTCCCCACATCAGAGCGCTGGAATGTGTTTGTTTACCAATTGACTTATGTTTGGACAAGACCATCTATATTTCAAAATGTTATCCTTGTTTGAAATGAACTTTGAGGGTCAAGCAATTGATAGGCTGTGTGGATGGGACTAGATGACAGGGAGGGGACAATGACCCCACAGTTCCCTCACAAACCAAGATTGCAACCAACCAGGTCAGAGTGGAGGTGGGCAGAGAGGAGGCCTAGAGGAGGGGGGCGGCTTCACCCCAGGAAGACTGGATTAGCCAATCGGTGGAGGCAGAGCTTGCTCCTCTACCTCATAGATTAAAAGACAAAACAAAACAAACAACAACAAAAAATAAAAAAACCAGGATGAGAAGCAGCAAGCACTGCTTAAGGGAGACAAGCAGATCCCTAGGAAGAGCAGTGGAAAGGCTGGGGCTGGAACGAGGCCTGGACTACAGAAGTGTTGGATGCCCTTGGTCTCTGCAGAGAGACAGTCACTCCCAGGGCACTGTGTCAATGACTGTAAAAAGCTGCACACAGTGGCAGGCCATCTGTTTGTTGACTTGAGTCAACATTCCTTAGGCCGCCCCTTCCCTCCTGCCTTCTGCGAACTCCACGGTCCTCTGTTGGTGGGATGGGTGATGCAGAATCCCAGGTGAGGATGATGTGGCTGCTTCATCAAGTCTGCGTGAGCCTCGTGTTGCAAGGGTGGGCCCTACCGGACCTGGGTCCTATGCTGCCAGGCTTATCTATCCATGGGAACAGAAATTTTAGATAGGGCAGTGTTAACTTGAGCATTCGTTTTCTACAATTAATTATCAAGAATTGATATCTCTAACACTTAGGGACTCAAACGTAATGTAGAAATCTAGTCACATCCAGAGATAACCACGGATTTTAAAATTACAAAAAAGCAAAAACAAAAACAAAAATCCATTACTTTTTTTTTTGGGAGAAACCAAAGGAAGATAGCAGAAAGCAAGGGCTTAGATTAGAATAACAGGGCAGGGTTAACCTGTTTTGTCTCATCATCCCAGATGTGGGAAACCTGCACTAACTCAAATGTAGAATATAAAATGTAATAAAATTATATAACAATACAATATTGATTAATATAATTAAGTATTGAGCTCTAGATTATGACTTCCAACCTATTTTAATGCACCTGTGTCATTTCTTTGCAGTACTTGCAGAATTGAATGCCTGGGACGTAACAGGTTAAACGGCAGGGCTGCAGAAGGCCTCGCTCATTCATGTTTTCAACACCACGCAAAAGCTCCCCAGTGCACAACTTTTTGTTTCTCTTTTTAAAATGCCCGGAAGCTACTTTATAATAAATTACTCAATGTGAGGCTTTCCAAATAGGCACCCGTCCGTATGGGTCACTGATGATTTCCCAACGTTTAGACAGTGGTGAGCACATAGCACTCGAAAATCTTTGATTACATGAATACTGTTTAGTACTAGGTTGGTACCAGGACATGTCTGTTGGTATACCAATCGTTGGCATGTCTAGAGCACCACAGTGCCGCTTTCTGGTTACAGAGTTTTGTTCTGCTCCTTTAGCACCCCGTTCTTTCATGTGGTGAGATACTTTTAGCAGCAGGTGGAAAGGGTGCTCCATGCTAGTCTGAGCACCCAAACTCGAGACACAGTGATTGGCTTACACATTGGGGGGGTGCGGGGGGCAGGCGGGGGGTATGCCACAACCTTCAGGGCTGTTTGTCAGGTAACCAAACGGGGTGATGAGAGCATGGAGAAAAGACAAACAGACACACATATAGAGAAAAAGCTAAGTCCCTGTGGTTCACTAACAACCCGGGTTGGGAAGCAGTGACTACGAACAAGCTCAGCATGTTTATTATATAGGTTTTAACATCAAAAGGATTTATTGTGAGAAAGTTTCTTCAAGATAAACAGAACTGAAGCTGAGGATATAAATAGACCAATTAGAACTATCAGTTTGTGCCCATAATTCTCTACCTCCCGGGCAGCTGGCATCTGAACTCTAGGTCATGAACTGATAATTCCATGGCTGGCACGAAAATTCCCATTGACCAGGGCGTCACCACAGCAGCTGGACAGTCTTCACACTGAGAATTCCCAAGAGGGGCACTGATTGCCTCTGTCACCAGACAGCTCATGGACTATAGTTCATCCCTCACTCCTGACAGGGGAAGCCAGTGCTCCCAGGCAGGTTTCACTGTCTTGAAGGTACTTAGAAAGGTTCTGCCCTGAGATGGCCAGGAAGAGGAGCAGGTGGCAGGCTAGGCTCTCTTGGATGACTCTGCCACCAAGTGGTGTGTGTCTGCTAGAGAATGACACCCACACAGGGCCAGGCTAGCAGAGAAGAGAAAAAGAACCTCTAGAAGCACTGGGATCCGGCCAGGACTGAAGAGCAAGCTCTAGGTTCTCTGGCCACCTGAAGGGCTGGATTTCTGAACCCTGGAGGCCATGAAGTGCTGTTCCAAATGCATTGCAGAGATTACCTCATTTAGTCCAACTGCAGCCTTGGAAGTTAGCTTCTACTACTCTTCCTATTTTGCTGATGAGGAACCTGGTGGTGGTGGTGGGATATTAATTTTGCCAAATAACCTAGTTTATTCAACAAATAGACTGTAAGGATAAAATAGAGACTGTAAGGTGAAATCTAAAGATAAAGAGACTTACAGAAATCATCAGATCACAGTGTATGGGCCTGAACTGGATCTGAATTCAGAACAAACCATTTACCTGGCAGTCTAAACACTGAATACATACATGATGGTATTCATTAGTTAATGTTATGATGATTAACATTGATGTTAGCAGGTGTAATAATGTTATAATTTTTTTTCCCTTTATTGGTGTTGGGGATTGAACTCAGGCTTGCTTTACCACTGAGCTACATCCCCAGTCTTTTTAATTTTTAAAAATTTTGAGATAGGGTCTTGCTAAATTGATGAGTCTGGCCTTGAACTTACAATCCTCCTGCCTCAAACTTCAGAGTCACTGGGATTACAGGTGTGCACCACTGTGTCTACCATGATTTGTGTTTTTAAAAGTCCTATCTTTCAGACATATGTATTAAAATACTTGTAGATAAAATATATCTGAGAAATTGCTTCAAAAAGATTCAGAAAAGGGGAAAGTCAGAGAGTTACAGGTAAATTGAGGTCGGTGAAGGTCAGGGAGTCTATTTGATAGATGTATTGGGTTTATTGTTCTGTAGACATTTTTAAAGAATAAAAAACAGCTTTATTAAGATATGATTCAAGTGCCATAAAACCCACTATTTTTCTTTTTGCTACCAGAGATTGAACCCAGGGGTTCTTAACCACGGAGCCACATACCCAGCCCTTTCTGTATTTTATTTTGAGACAGGGTCTTGCTGAGTTGTTTAGTGCCTCAATTTTGGCTGAGGTTGGCTTTGAACTCCAGATCCTCCTGCCTCAGCCTCCTGCCTCAGCCTGGGATTATAGACATGTGCTGCCATGCCCAGAGGGAAAACCCACGCTTTTAAGGTATAAAATTCAATGGTTTTTAGTACAGAGTGCAACGATCCCCAGTAATTTCAGAACATTTTCATTGGCCCAAAGAGAGACCCTCATCCCCATCAGTCACTCTTCATTTCTCTCCCTCCCCTTCTCTGGGGAGTCTCTACACGATAGATTTCTGTGTACATCCAAAATTTTCTATAATAAAAAAAGAGAAAGAAGGGTATGGGGGGAGAAAAGGGAAGGACAAACTTGCTCAAGGTCACAGTGAAGTGAACAGTCTCCTAATGAAGACTGGCTCCACTCTAACTGAAGTTCAAGTGGTTCCCATCACCTTGGCGGTTTCCCACAGTGACCTTCCCCATACCGAAGGGCTTGCCTTCCGGTTCGCCTTACATACGGCGATGCAATAATCTGCATGTCATGTGTTCTAAGGAACTCAACCTAAACCAGAAAACAAAACAAAGATGCAAAAGCAATGATACTTGGCCCTGTA